AACAGTTACAAGTCAAACTGAGGCACATTAAAACTGTGAAGAGTTTATTTGGCAAACAACATTCCTTAGTAGCACATCAGTGGTCCATCAGCCCGAAGGGCAATGGCTTTTATGGATGGAATGTGTAAGAAGGCAAAGAAAACATTGCTTGCTATGTTGAGGAGAAGTAGTCTCCTTAGAGAGTTCCAACAGAAAGCTCCTAGTTAGAGCTGAGCACTTCCTGGGTTCGACTTACATTCTGTTGTCCTAGATGGGACTGTTTACATTGAGCTGGGCTGTGATCGCTTATGTAGGAGACCGGGCCACTATAGCTCGGTCATTCGGATGGGCTCCTGGGTGGTTCCTTAGCCAATTGATAGCATGCAGGCTGGCCGCAGTCCCATGGCTGTATGCCAGTGTTGTAAAGTAATCACCAGGGTTCCCACGATGGAGTTTGCTTTGAACCGAGGGAAGGCACATTGGCCAAATGAGCTTGCTTTGCAAGTAGAAATCTTTCTGTCCATCTTGCACTCTAGAGAAGCTTTTTTGTGCTATAGCCACATCACCATTGTCGCTCCACCCCACCAAAAAACAAAAAAACAAAAAAAAAAGAGAAAAAACATTGAGATCACGTGGATTTTTATATTCAAAGCATATAACTGAAGCCTGATTTGCATCTGCTTTGGAGGCAGGAGAAGACCAAAAAAATCCAGGTAAGATGAAATCACTTCTGCAACTTCTTGACAGTGCTAACTTCTGCATGAGAAGTATGGTTACAGCTCAGAATTTCAGGGCCACAGTGCAGGTTGACACTCACGAAGAAGGTCCCTGTGATAGGAAGAGAGTGGCCCCAGGACAGCAGTGTGGTGTCTGCTCCGATGTTAAACCAAGCAGCGAGGCAGAGCTGCAGCAAAAGGGAAAGCAGTGCTCCCCAGGAGGCTTTTCCTGGGGTGTGTGCAGACCCAGGTCTCAGTCTGTGACCCAGGCACCTGGAAGCACTAGGGTAAATTTCGATGGATTCTTTCCCGCAGGACTGTAAACCTTTTGTACACTGACATGTGTCATGAACCTCCAGGTGAGGAAATGGCAAATGCAGTTTTTGTCAACATTACCTCCCCGTGGGACTCGGGGATCATCTTTGAGCGCTGTTTTCACACAGAATCCACTTTCAGAAATGTGCTAGTGATGAGGTGACCATGAAAAATGCGGGCGTGTGCTGTGTGCCAGACACTGACAGTGCTTTGTGGATTCCTCTCTTTGTATCCTCACAGCCAGCTCCGCCTCAGTGTTGCTTTTATCTCCACATTGCAGACGAGGAAACAGGCTCAGGTTGAGTGATGTAGCTCATAAATGGCAAAGCCAGGATCTGATTCCCAAAGGGGGTTTTGCGTTGAGTCTCATACACACAACCATGACAGTTTATGAGCACTTACTCTATGTTAATCACTTTTCACAAGAAGATGTGTTTATTGCTCTAAGTATTCCCATAATTATGATGAGCTGAGTCCTCATGAACAGAACATAATAATTCAAAGCATTTCTAAGTTCCTCGTGGGATTTTGCAAATAACTTGTGTCAGCACCAGGCCTTAGGAATGGCTAGTGACTTGGAGGATTGCTTGTGTCCGTGTTTTGTTCTGTGCATTTATAGCAGCAGAAAAACTGCTCAGCACTTTTCTCCCACAGGTCCGCCCCATTTCGGCTGTAATCGGAGAGGGATTAATTTATGCTAATTCCACACAAAAAGCCAAAGCCTGTTTATTGCCAGTTGCCATTCCTCAGCAAAACAAGCACAAACGCACCTGAGTGTCCGGCAGATTAAGATACGCAGCTGCTGTTGGGTGGCGCAGTGATAGACCCGTTTGTGTTCAGGCACAGGTCAGCAAGCAGAAGCCAGGAGGGGACGCAGAGGGCCTGGTTCTCAGTCTCTCCCCGCTCTGTCTTCCATCCGCGGCTTGCTGCCTCCAAGAAAGAACGTGGCCACGCAAAGCTAGGGAGTGGGATGCGTGATGCCCAGTTTCAGATCCCCGTGGGGAAGGAAGCTTGTTTCCCTGGAAGAATGTTGATTTACCCCATGGTGTTCATGCAGCTTCTTCAAGAAGATAATGTGCATGTGAACGGTTTAGGATGGAAAGAGCAACCTTGTGATGAGAAGAAAGATGGGAGAAGGGAAGAGAAGGGAAATAAGAGTGTGTGTGTGTGTGTGTGTGTGTGTGTGCACCTGCTCATATGTATGTTTGCTTTTGTGTTCTGGAGAACCTGGCCAAGGTGATTTCCTCTTTTAATTTTCCAGTATTTCTGATGCTGCCCCTTGAAGTGAGCCCTGCCTTGCTCTTGCTTGCACCTCTGAGTCATTCTGGTTGTGCTACAGGAGCATTCAGCGAGCGGGGAGAGGTTTAACTGCGTCCACCTTCCCCCACCTGGGCCGTGTGGCCCCTCGCTGGACCTGCACCTGTTCTTTCTGATTAAGGGTTTGCATTGGAAGATTGCCTTGAAAATGCCTTTTTATTTTTTCGTGTGAGGATGGAGCTGGGCCAATGGAGAAAAAGAGCAATTTTATCTCTTAGAAATACAGATGATAAGATTATATGTTACCTGAGCTTTGCTTCAAAAAATCCAGTGGCTGGGTTGTGGGAATTAGAGGGGACAGAGAGTAAGCAAGCCTGGCTGCCAGTGAGGCTGAAGAGTGAGCAAATGAGGTGGAATTCAGTGTCTCTATTTCTTCCCTCCCCT